GAGTCAACACGCAGCGTGTTGACCCGGCCGTTTTCAGCACGGTACGCATCAGGGCAGCTGAGGGCCTGGGATCGACCCTCGCACGCCTCGAACACTGGCCTGAACGCAACACGAGAAACGCACGCCCCCGACCCTGGAGAGGGGAAACCCCAACCCTGGAAAGCGCGCCCTGCAGCCCAACCCTGGAGACTTGGACACTCTGGCCCGGACATCGGAAACGGGTGGTCGCGTGCTGCGCTGCGGGCCCAAGAGGCACGCGGCGGGCGGCGGCCAGGTCGCCGCGGGGGGGCCGCGGCCTCCGGGTTCACAAGCGACCCGGGCGCGGGGGGCGGCACCGTGCCCAGCGGGGGCGGCGGCGGCGGCGCCTGGCCCTGCGCCGCGGGGGGCGGGCGGACGAGGGGGCCTCCTCGTAGCTCGCAGGCTAGTGGCATTGGGTCCGTGCAGGAGCTGCCATCGGCCTCCGCCTCCGCCTCCGCCTCCGCTCCTCCGCCTCCTCCGCCTCCTCCTCCTCCTCCTCCTCCTCCTCCTCCTCCTCCTCCTCCTCCTCCTCCTCCTCCTCCTCCTTGCGCCCCCACGCGGGCTCCAGAGATTGCCCTAAGAGGCCCTCCAAGGCCACACCCTTGTTCCCAGAGATCTCTCTGTTCACCCCAGTTGCCCGCTCTGTTTCACTATATGTGTCTCTTCGTCCCTTTTCCCGTCTACTCTCATGGGCAGGGTTTCCGAATAGGCTGGCGGGGTACGTGAAGCGTGAAGAGTTTCCAACGATGACGCACACAGGGCTCTGGAGGAGGACGAGAGGGGGAAGGAGGAAGCGAAGGAGGAGAAAAAGTACCAAATGCGTTTGCGTGGCCAAAACCCATCAACCCATCAAGCCAAATTGCCAACGACACAATGACACGGGCTGACCCAGGTCAGAGCTGTCACGACAGAAGGTGTTCTGCCATTTTTGGCCTCCAGGGGAACTCACTGGGGTGAAAAGTCAGTCCCAGGGAAGGTCCCTAAAGAGCGCCCCCGCCGTAGCACCGAAGCCAAGATGTCGTGATAAGGTGTGTAAACAATGAGAGTATGGCTCATAATCATGACTGATCACGACTGCAGAACGCGACAGCTCCGCGGAGCTCACGCCCCGATGGGGGGTCAGGGCCAAGGGTGGGGCGGCCTTCTGAGAAGGCAGGGCACAGACATACGGCAAGGGCATTGGATAAGGAACCATTGGATAAGGAATCCGGAGTCTGAGAATAAGGTGGAGCACCAATTGAGGCCTGGCCGTGGATATCACCGCCGCCCTTATTAGACAAGGAATCCTCCAGAGCTTGAAAACTCCTGGGCGCATCTCTTAACGAACGCCCCCACCGTAAATCTCAGAAGTCCGCGCATACTCCTTGGATCGGCGCTGAGCAGCCCCCCTCCCTGGCGAGCGGAGGGGCAGCGCCAGAGGCGCCGCCAGCGGAGGCCCAACGCTGGTCCAAGAAACCCGCGCGGACCTCCGAAAGTTGATGTTTGTGTAGCACTTCTTCCTCAAGAAGGGGGGCCTCTCAGAAGGAGCCGTCTGGGCCAGTCGGCGCAGGGGCTTCGCCGCGCGGGGCTGAGCTGGGGAGTCCGGGGGCTGTCTGGGGGAGGCCTTTGGGGCCCATGGAGGCCTGAGGAAGCTCCCGGGGAGAGTCGAGGCAAGCCCGCGGCTGGAAACGACGACAATTCCCAGAGGAAGGGCATGGACCACCCGCCACTGAGAAGCCATCGAGGGGGAGGGGGGGCAGCGACGCATGGGCGGTGGTACAGCCGAGCGTCGTCCTGTGCTGGGTGACCCCCCGGCGTGCCACGTTCAAGGGTCGGACTCCCGATGGGTTCTCCGTGGCGGGTGGTCCATGTTTCTCCTCTGACTTTCGCCAGGACACCTGCTCTTCCTCCTCGCTCCGTGCTCTGGGCCCTGGCGAGTTCGCTTCGCGAGGCCGACCCCCCTCTCGCAGAGACCTGAACCTGTGCCTAGATGCGTCTACCTGTCGATGATCCGCCATCCGCCACCGCACCTCGCTGCGGCTGGCGTGCCCCTGCCTCTCGCTCTGAGTGGCCAACTGACCAAGTCGGTCACTCATAGGCCGCCCGAGTGAGGCCAGAAGTGGATGGGGTCGGAGGATCGCGCCGCATTGTCGATGCATCATGCATCGGCGGTGCGACCAGCGACGCAAGAGTTCGGGTGTTACTAGAAGTGCCCTGGGCCCAAGGCGCCCCCAGGAGTTCTGAGGAGGCCCCCACGGCGTCCAGAGCACCCCTCACGAGGCTGGGATTGCCCCAGGGGCTCCAAGATCGAACGAAAAGGTGGGGGCACCTCGGGCACGGGGCCCCTTGAGCAACCCCCGAAGGGTGGAGAAGGTCAGACTCCTGATCGCGCTGGATCGCGGGTGATTCGGCGATGCAGGGGGAGCCTCCATGCCCACCTCCTCCGTGGCCCCGTCGGGGCAGCCAAAGGCCCCTCCTCGGAGGTTCGCCGTGGTATCTGCGCGGTCTTGCCAGAACGCTGGCCTTGGTTGTTCGTGGCGTCCTGCTTCCTCTCCCCGTCTCTTCTTGCTCCCCCTCCCCTCCCCGCAACGCGCGCACGCAGCTTTTCGTCTGCCGGTGCGCCGCTTGGGCGCCACGGCTTGGCCCGCCGACCTCGGAAGGCTCGAGGGCTGCGTAGGGCCGGGGCGAGCTCTGAGGGGGCCCGCTGGCCCCTGCCCGTGCCCCCGACCCAGATCCGCTCGAGACGAGTCCCAAGATCTAGGTCTGGCATGTCCCCTGCAGGCGGATCTTGGACGGAAAATCCAAAATACTCAACAAAAAACAAACAAACAAACAGACAGACAGACAGACAGACAGACAGACTATTGTGCTCCCTGTTTTCGAACATCCCTCCTGTAGAGGGACAGGCCCGACTGAACCCCAGATCCCAGGCCAGCCCCTCCCGGTGTCCGTCCTGACCAGCGACTCGAGCTGCGACAGGCCGCGGCCACGAGGGCGCGCACGCAGGCCCACGGAGGCGCCTGGCAAACTGCCGAGCACCTCGACCCTGGACCGTCCTCCTCCTCCTTCCTCCTCCTTCCTCCTTCCTCCTCCTTCCTCCTTCCTCCTCCTCCTCCTCCTCCTCCTCCTCCTCCTCCTCTCCCCTCCTCCTCCTCCTCCTCCTCCTACTCCTTCTCCTCCTCTCCTCTCCTCCTCCTCCTCCTCCTCCTCCTCCTCCTTCCTCCTCCTCCAGAGGTCTATGGAGCTCTTTCGGAGGGCCCTCGACCCTCGTCATCCTCCTCCTCCTCCTTCCTCCTCCTCCCCCTTCCTCCTCCTCCTTCCTCCTCCTCCACCTTCCTCCTCCTCCTTCCTCTTTCCTCCTCCTCCTCCTCCTCCTCCTCCTTCTTCCTCCTCCTCCTGAGATCCGCACACCCCCGGGGCCCTCACGCCGCTCCGCGACGCCCCCGAGGAGAGAGCACGGCACGCAGGCGCCGGCCCCCCGTGGACGGCCACCTCGGGCCCCTGGGAGGTCCAAGAACTCCTGGAGCGCACCGCTAGCACTGCACCTTGCGCCCCCCTGAGAGGTGCCGCTTCGCGTGAGGGCGGCGGGCGCAGGACCCCGGCTTGCCCTGACAGAATAGACCAGGAGAGGCCGAAACCTGGAGTGCCCGATGCCGGCGCCGACACAGCGGCCAGCAGGGACCCCCCGAGTGGCCCATCGGACCTCGGCGGCGGGGGCGAGCCAGACCTCGGCCAGGCGCGAGGCTGAGCGGACATCTCGGATTGGAGGAGTGAGTGGGGTGCTGAGCGGGCTTCAGCCGGCGGGAGCTCTGGCGAGGGCCGATGTTGAGCGGACCACGGCCTGGAGGGAGCGAGGTTCGGCGCCCCCCTTCCCAGGCATCCGAGGCCACTTTTTTTATCCATGCGGGGCTCCCCAGGGGCTGGCTTCTCATCCCGAGCCGATTAGTTGACGGTCCCGGGGCCCAGCGAGGGCCCCCAGAGGCCGACAAAACGGCCAAAAACCTCCCGTCGTGATGTTTGTTTTCAATCCTTCCCCGACGCGGAGAAGCCTGCCTGGTTTTCGGGTCATCACCCGGGCCTCCAGCGGCAGTTCGGGACGATCCATGCACCCCCAGAACGCCCTCGGCGAGGCGCAGCTGCTGGAAGGCATCGCAGGGCTGAACACCGCCGCGAAGCCACGCACACGCCCGAAAACCTCGAACCCCGAACCTCGACTCCTGCCTGAGCTCCTGGACCGTGCCACCTCCTCCTCCTCCTCCTCCTCCTCCTCCTCCTCCTGCTCCTCCTCCTCCTCCTCCTCCTCCTCCTCCTCCTCCTCCTCCTCCTCCTCCTCCTCCTCCTCCTCCTCGAAGCTCGAGCCTCGATGCCTGCGCGACTCCTGCGGAGGCCGCCGACCTGTGCCCGCCAGCGCCTCCTCCCGCGGCCTCCCCCGACCGACCCGACGTGGCCCGAGCTGCGCCCTGGCTTCGCAGGCCGGGGGCGCCCCGAGAGGGCCAGGGGTGCGACGGGGGCACAGCCGATGGGATGAATCAGAGGCCGCTGACCCAGGAGGAGGAGGAGGAGGAGGAGGAGGAGGAGGAGGAGGAGGAGGAGGTGGAGGTGGAGGTGGAGGAGGAGGAGGAGGAGGAGGAGGAGGAGGAGGAGGAGGGGTGGAGGTGGAGGAGGAGGAGGAGGAGGAGGAGGAGGAGGAGGAGGAGGACGTCCCGTATGCCTGCTGCGCACACGCTCCGGCCTGGATCTCTCGGCCTCAGAGTCCTGTCGGGTGGGGTCGGAGAAGCAAGCCGCATCGCCGACGTATCGAGACGCATCGCCGATGCATCGGCAACGTCGGCGATGCATCGGCGACGTCGTCGTGGAGAACATCGGGCTCCACATCGAGCCCCATCCCCGATGCATCAGCGATGCGGCACGATCCACCGATCCCATCGACTCCGACACCATCAGGGAGGCCTAGATGGAAGCTGCCGAAGAAAAGCTGGCACACGGTGACGAGGAGAGGTCTCTGGATGATCGGCGAGCTTGTGTGAGGATAGACTGGCACGGCAGGTTCGTGTCGTGACGGCCCTGGCGCTGGTCTCTGACACTGCGTTGATCGATCAACCTTGACCGATCGGCGGCTTTTCGGATCGCCACGTCGTTCCATGTTGGCCGACTCTGGGCCGCTGGCGGCGTTCAACCTTGAACGCCGCGCTGGGGTCGCCGCCGCGTCGACACGGCACGACCCCACCGTACACGGATCAATCGGCAATCTCTGAGAGCTGAGCCGCGGCCGTTCCTGAGATGGAAGCACCTCCCAATGCTGCTGTGGGTGACAATTTCCAGGTCACCAGCATGGACCCCTTCCCTGGGGCCGGCTTATCCTCCCCAGCCGTCTGTTTTGTATTAGGTCGGACCTGTCCCCCAACAGGCGGATTTTGGACGAAACATAAGAAATAGTCCAAAACATGGTCAAAAATATACTTGAAATTAGCCTGGCGAAGGACCCAACCATATGCAGCTGCGAGTACCGCACGGATATGAGACGAAGGAGGGGGCACGCAAACTAGGCCCCTCTTCTCATAGGCACCGCGCCACTGGGGCCTTCGGTGGAGCTCCCTATGGGGCCACGAAACGTGTGAAGGGTGTGCCGAAATGGGTGGTGGGGAGGCATGCGGACCCTCTGGGGCCTTCGGTGGAGCTCCCTATGGGGCCACGAAACGTGTGAGGGGTGTGCCGAAATGGGTGGTGGGGAGGCATGCGAACGCAGCCACTGGGGCCTTCGGTGGAGCTCCCTATGGGGCCACGAAACGTGTGAGGGGTGTGCCGAAATGGGTGGTGGGGAGCCACTGGGGCCTTCGGTGGAGCTCCCTATGGGGCCACGAAACGTATGAGGGGTGTGCCGAAATGGGTGGTGGGGACGCATGCGAACGCAACCACTGGGGCCCCTTCGGTGGAGCTCCCTATGGGGCCACGAACGTGTGAGGGGTGGGCCGAAATGGGCGAGGGGCGGCATGCCAACTCTGCCACTGGGGCCTTCGGTGGAGCTCATTATGGGGCCACGAAACGTGTCAAGGGTGTGTCGACATGGGTGGCGCGGACGCATGCGAACCCTGCCACTGGGGCCGTCGGTGGAACTCCCAATGGGGCCACGAAACGTGTGAGGGGTGTGCAAAAGTGGGTGGGGGCGGCATGCGAACCCTGCCACGGGGGCCTTCGGTAGAGCACCCTATGGGGCCACGAAATGCGTGAGGGGTGTGCCAAAGTGGGGTGGGGGCGGCATGCGAACCCTGCCACTGGGGCCGTCGGTGGAGCTCCCTATGGGGCCACGAAACGTGTGAGGGGTGTGCCAAAGTGAGATGGGGGCGGCATGCGAACCCTGCCACTGGGGCCTTCGGTGGAGCTCCCTATGAGGCCACGAAACGTGTGAGGGGTGTGCCAAAGTGGGGCGGGGGCGGCATGCGAACCCTGCCACTGGGGCCTTCGGTGGAGCTACCTATGGGGCCACGAAACGCGTGAGGGGTGTGCCAAAGTGAGGTGGGGGCGGCATGCGAACCCTGCCACTGGGGCCTTCGGTGGAGCTACCTATGGGGCCACGAAATGCGTGAGGGGTGTGCCAAAGTGGGGTGGGGGCGGCATGCGAACCCTGCCACTGGGGCCGTCGGTGGAGCTCCCTGTGGGGCCACGAAACGTGTGAGGGGTGTGCCAAAGTGAGGTGGGGGCGGCATGCGAACCCTGCCACTGGGGCCTTCGGTGGAGCTACCTATGGGGCCACGAAACGTGTGAGGGGTGTGCCAAAGTGGGGTGGGGGCGGCATGCGAACCCTGCCACTGGGGCCTTCGGTGGAGCTACCTATGGGGCCACGAAACGTGTGAGGGGTGTGCCAAATGGGGTGGGGGCGGCATGCGAACCCTGCCACTGGGGCCTTCGGTGGAGCTCCCTATGGGGCCACGAAACGTGTGAGGGGTGTGCGGAAATGGGAACTATGATGGCGATGATGATGATGATGATGATGATGATGATGATGATGATGATGATGATGATGATGATGATGATGATGATGATGATGATGATGATGATGATGATGATGATGATGATGATGATGATGATGATGATGATGATGATGATGACGATGATGATGCTGGTGTGATGATGATGACGATGATGATGCTGGTGGTGATGATGACAGGATGGTTGGGAACTAATGGCGATGGCGATGATGATGACGATGATGATGATGATGATGATGATGATGATGATGATGAAGATGAGGATGATGAGATGATGATGATGATGATGATGATGATGATGATGATGATGATGATGATGATGATGATGATGATGAGGATGATGATGATGATGACGATGAGTATGATGACGGCGATGGGAGGAGGGAGGAGGGGGGAGAGGAGGAGGAGGAGAGGAGAGGAGAGGAGAGGAGACGCGGGGCGCTGTCTCTTCAAAACGAGGACCCAACACCACAGGATGGTTGGGAAAAATCGTCCCCAGCCTATGTTTGACGAATTGTGGAGGATTCCCCCTGTAGGGGGGGGAACGCCCGACTCAGGTTCTGCAGACGGCCCTGGGAGCCCTGCCGTGGCCCGGAGGCTGAGCATTGCCCAAGGTCTTCCGCCTCGTGAGCTCAGCACCGCTCTGGCAGCCCATCGGAACGCTCCGGAGCAATGACGCTCTGACAGCTTATCGGAACGCTCCGGAGCAATGACGCTCCTCCTCATCCCCAGGCCTCCCGCCTGGGCGTTCGTCGTCGTCTGCCTGCTTCTCCCCTCCTCGTCCCCCTCCTCGTCCCCCTCCGCCGGGCAGCACGGCCTGCCCGGGACCAGCATGGCGCATGCACATGTACGTGCACGGCTTTCTCATCATACGGCGGCGTGGCTTCTCCGAGGAGGGGAAGCGGCCCTCGGGCTGTCTTGTGCAGTCTTGGATGCTTGCTCGCCCAGGCCTGCCTGAAGAGAGCACCCCAGAAAGACCCCGAGAGCTCACGGCGGGGTCGCGCCGCGATGACGCCAGCGCCGGCCTCTGACAGCGCACGGATCGTTCACCCTCCATCGATCGCGGCGCTCCGATCGATAGCGCAAATCGTTCGACAGAGGCCGGTTCCAGGGGCCACGAGATCTGGGGAATCTCGTGGCCATGCCCACTATGTCCGAACCCCCTCTGGTACTCACCGCCTTGTTGGGTGCCCCCGGAACCTGGCAAGCCGCATGGCCCTGGCCATGATGCCCACACCCTCTTGGTCCTCACCCCCCTCTCCTGGACGCCCCCGAGGGGAGGCCACTGGAGGCGTTCCTGGTGGCCAGACAACTGAGGCGACAGCGCAGCCAACGCGTGCCCGCGGCAGCATATGCACCAAATTACAAGGGAGGCGGAGGAGGAGGAGGAGGAGGGGGAGGAGGAGGAGGAGGAGGAGGAGGAGGAGGAGGAGGAGGAGGAGGAGGAGGGGGAGGAGGGGAGGAGGATGAGGAGGAGGAGAAGAGGAGGAGCGGAGGAGGAGGAGGAGGAGGAGGAGGGAGGCCACTGGAGGCGTTCCACCCGGAGCGCCCGCGCTGGGGCCACCGCCAGGCAGGCGCGGCGGGAGCCTGCCGCAGAGAGGGCCGCACCCCTCGCCGGATGCCCCCCATGCTGCTGCGCGGCCGACCGCGCGCCTGCGCCATGCGGAACGAGCCGTGCGACTGCGCCACCTCCCCGGGGCTCGCCCTCCGCCTCCCTCCTCATCCTCCTTCTCCGTCCTCCTTCTCCTTGTGCGTCTCCTCTTCATCCTTGTCCTTCTCCCTCCTCCTCCTCCTCCTCCTCCTCCGCCTCCTCCTCATCATCATCATCATCATCATCATCATCATCATCATCGTCATCGTCATCGCATCATCATCATCATCATCATCATCATCATCATCATCATCATCATCATCATCCATCTCATCCTCATGCTCCTGTCTTCACCTCCCTCCTCCGTCCTCCTCCTCCTCCTCCTCCTCCTCCTCCTCATCATCATCATCATCATCATCATCATCATCATCATCATCATCATCATCATCATCATCCCCTTCCTCCTCCTGCTCCTTGTCCTTCTCCCTCCTCGTCCTCGTCCTCCTCCTCCTCCTCATCCTCCATGCCTTTTCCTTATAGATAACTTCTCCCTGTCGCACCCCGAGGCAAGTTTTTAGGGCGGGCCGGGCGTTTCGCCTGAGACTTCTTCACCCTTCTATGACTCTGAAGCTTAAAATGTGGCAACAGCTTCACATATGGAGGGCGGGTGGTTTTCAAAATGTGGCTCTCGCCTTAGCGCTGCGCAGATTCGTTCTAAAAACTCGCAAGAGCTTCACGAATTGAGGATCACCCGATTTCAAAATGTGGCTCTCGCCTTAGCGCCGCGCAGATTCATTCTAAAAACTTGCAAGGGCTTCACGAATTGAGGATCACCCGTTTTCAAAATGTGGCTCTCGCCTTTGCGCCGCGCAAATTTGCTTCAAACATTAAAAAGTCTTCACGGATTGGGGGCGGCTCCTTTTCAAAATGTGACTCTCGTCCTAGCGCCGCGCACATTCGTTCGAAAAATGTGCAAGAGATTCACGGACTTCCGCGATCAACGTGCCAGAAATGGTGTTTTGGAAGGATTCAAGATTTTGCGAGTGCAACAGTTACGTTGATTCGCGGTGTTGAAATCCCACGAATGGCGTTCTGGCACGATCCAGGATCGTCAAGACGCAACAGTCAGGTTGATCCGTGGCATTGGAATCCCGAGAACAATGTTTTGGCATGCTTCCGGGTCTTCAATCGATTGTCTTCCAACGAGGCAGATCCCTCAATGGAAATGAAACGTTGTAGGGGCTGATGAAGAGGGAGCTTGGAGGCAGGGTGCATTCTAATATCGATGATGGCTCTTGGGATTACACTGGTCCTCCTCCTCCTCCTCCTCCTCCTCATCATCATCATCCTCCGTCCTCCTTCTCCTTGTCCGCCTCCTCCTCCTTGTCATTATCCCTCCTCCTCCTCCTCTTCCTACTACTCCTCCTCCTCCTCCTCCTCCTCCTCCTCCTCCTCCTTCCCCTCCTCCTCCTCCTCCTCCTCCTCCTCCTCCTCCTCCTCCTTTTGCTACCCCTCCTCCTTTTCCTCCTCCTCCTCCTCCTGCTCGTCCTCCTCCTCATCCTCCTCCTCCTCGTCTCCTCCCTCTTCTCAGAGAAGCCTGTTCAACCCGATGAGGTCGGACGAGCCAGCCGCCTCGCCAGTGCATTGACGATGCGGCACGATCCTCCGACCCCATATGCTCGGACCTCACCTGGGAGGCCTAGAGCCTCTCTCTCGGCAAATGCTGTCCTTGACCCTCGAAGGAGGAGGGAGGCGGAATGAGGAAGGAGGAGGAGTTCGCGAAGCTGGTCGCCTGCACGTAGCGGTGCTTGCCAGTCGGGGTCCCGGGCATCGTGCACGCCACCATGTGGGGCTGCTGCCTCACCTGGCGGCGCGGGAGGTGAGGACCAGGAATCCACGAAAGCGTCCTCCTCATGCTGCTCTTCCCCCTCCTCCCCCCTCCTCATCCTCCTTTGCCCCACTCGTCACTCCTCCTCCTCCTCCTCCTCCTCCTCCTCCTCCTCCTCCTCATCCTTCTTCTTCTTACCACGCCTCCTGCTAGTACAACTTGTCCCAATGCGCCTTCTGGTCCTCTTTCTCCCCCTCATCCTCCGTTTCCTTTACGTCTGCAGGCCGACGAGCCACATGACTCCTCATCCTCACCAACAACACTCCTGTGCTTCCTCCTCCTCCTCCTCCACCCCAGCCTCTCCCAGCTCCTTCGTTCTCATCCTCCTCCTCCTAGTTCGTCTCCTCCATCCCCCGCCTCCTTCTCCTCCTCCTCACTATCGTCTTCCTCCTCCTCCCCCATCCTCCTACAGCTTCTCCTCCTCCTCCTCCTCATTCTCCTCCTCCTCCTCCTACTCGTCCTCCTCCTCATCCTCCTCCTCCTCCTTCTCGTCCTGCACCTCATCCTTATGCTCTTCCTCCTTTCTACACCCACAGTCCCCTCCATACCTATTGTCCCTTTGCCCCCCATCCCATTCCCTCCTGCACTCCTTATCTGATCCTCCCTCTCCTCCTCCTCCTCCTCCTCCTCCTCCTCCTCCTCCTCCTCCTCCTCCTCCCCTCCTCCTCCTCATCAGCATCATCATCGCATCCCGCTTCCTTCTCCTCATCGTCCTCCTACTCCTCCTCCTCATCGTCCTCCTCCTCGTCCTCCTCCTGATCATCATCTTCCTCATAATCGTATCCATCATCATTACCAAGAACAACACCGTATTCGTCGTCACCATCTTGTCAGTATCGTCGCGTTCAGCATCATCATCATCATCATCATCATCATCATCAGCAGCAGCAGCAGCAGCAGCGTCATAATTACCATCATCGTCATCATCAGCAGCAGCAGCATCTTCATCAGCATCACCATCATCGTCGACGTCGCCGTCCTAAGTATCGTCAGCATCATCAGCAGCAGCATCATCGTCATCAACATCTCGTCGTCGCCGTTGCCGTCGTCGTCATCAACATCATCATCATCAGCATCATCAGCAGCATCAGCCGCAGCAGCAGCAGCAGCATCAGTCTCATCATTATCATTATCGTCGTCGCCGTCAGTGTCGTCATCGTCTTTGTCGTCATCGATATCGGCGTCAGCTTCGTCATCATCATCATCACCATCACCACCACCACCATCATCATCAGCATCAACAACAAGATCAGCGTCACCAGCATCATCATAATACTCGTCATCCTCATCGTCATCGAAATCATCAGCATTATCGTCATTGCCGCCGGCGTCATCAACGTCATCGTCACCGTCGTCACCCGCATCATCATCGTCATCATCAGCCTCATCATTGTCATCATCATCATCATCGTCGTCATCACCAGCAGCATCATCATCGTCAACATCATCATCATCATCATCATCATCAGCATCATCATCATCGTCATCGTCGTCGTCAGCATCGCCATCATCATCATCATCATCATCATCATCAGCATCATCATCATCAGTAATATTATCGTCGTAAAATCACCATCATCAGCAGCAGCAGCATCGTCATCATCAACATCTGCACCAGCAGCATAATAAACATCAGAATCATCACCATCATCATCAACATCATCATCAGCATGACCGTCCTCAGTCATTATCCTCATCATCAGTCTCATCATCATCATCCGCATCATCATCCTCATCACCATCCTCATCATCAGCATCATCATCATCGTCGTCGTCATCGTCGTCATCGTCGTCGTCGCCGTCGTCGTCGCCGCCACCCTTCCGATCGCGCGCCGTTCTTCCAAGAAGCGCGCGCTGCTCTGCCATGCTCCCGCCTTCCCCCCGCTCCACAACCCAAAAAAAACAGACAGGATGCGTCGCCTAATTCCGCCAGCCAGGCTAAAGAGACAGCTGGCTGGCGTGGACGAGACGCACGCCACAAATCGCTGGCGCTGCCGAGGGAAGAGCAGGAGGGCAGAAGGGGGGGAGGGGGAGGGAGAGGGTGGCCTGGGCTGGCGTCCTTCCTACATCCTCCGCCTCCTCCTCCTCCTCCTCCTCCTCCTCCTCCTCCTCCTCCTGCGCATCCTCCTCCTCCTCCTCCTCCTCCTCCTCTTCCTCCTCCTCCTCCTCCTCCTACCCATTCTCGCCCATCCTCCTTGTGTGCTCTCTCTCTCTCTCTCCCCCCTCTCCTCTCTCTCTCTCTCTCTTACTCTCTTTTTCTCTACTCTATCTGCTCTCTCTCTCTATCTCTCTTCTCTCTCTCTCCTTCTCTCTAATATATATGATATCGCTCTCTCTCTCTCGTTTCTCTCTCTCCCTCTCTCTCTCTCTCTCTCTCTCTCTCTTCTCTCCCTCTGTCTCGCTTCCTCTATGTCGTTCTCGCCCGTCCCCATCCTGCATCACCTCCTCATCCTCCTCGTCGTCATCAGACTCCTCCTCCTCCTCCTCCTCCTCCTCCTCCTCCTCCTCGTCATCAGCATCATCACCATCATCATCACCATCAGCAGCATTATCATCGTCATCATCATAATCATCAGAATCCTCATCGCCACCATCACCAACATCCTCCTCCTCCTCCTCCTCCTCCTCCTCCTCCTCCTCATCATCATCATCATCATCATCATCATCATCATCATCATCATCACCAACATCACCCTTGTCATCATCATCGCCACCATCGTCATCATCAGCACCACCACACTAGTCATCATAATCACCATCACCAACATCATCCTCATCACCACCACCACCATCAGCATCAGCAGCGGCATCAACATCACTATCACTAACAGCATCTCTAAATCATCATTAGCAGCAGCATCAGCATCACCATCATCGTTATATAAGTATCATCACCATCGGCATAAGCATCATCATCATCATCATCATCATCATCATCAGCATCATCATCATCATCATCATCATCATCATCATCATCATCATCATCATCATCATCATCATCATCATCATCATCGTCATCGTCATCGTCATCGCCGTAATCGTCATCGTCATCAACGTCATCATCATCACCCTCATCCCCATCCTCATCATCATCGTCATCATCATCATCACCACCATCAACAGCATTATCTTCATCATCGTCATTATCATCCTCATCATCCTCATCCGCATCCTCATCCTCATCATCATCATCACCAGCGTCACCATCATCATCCGCCTGACCTCCTCCCTCCCACCCTCTCTCCCTCTCCCTCCCACGTCTTCCTTATGACTAACTCCTCCCTGTGGCACCCCGAGGCCAGTGGAAGGGCGGGTCGGGCGTTTCGCGAACGACTTCCTTACCATTTATGGGCATGAAGCGCAGAAACGGCAAGAGTGTCACGGATTGAGGGCGGGTGGTTTTCAAAGTGCGGCTCTCGCTAAAGCGCCGCGCACACTCGTCTTAAAAATCTGCAGGAATTTCACGGGCTGAGACGGGCGGTCTCCAAAATGTGGTTCCCGCCTGAGCGCCGCGCACAGTCGGCTTAAAAGGTCGCAAGAGCTTCACGGACTCTCCCCTTGGCGCCGCGCACACCCGTCTCCAATCACGCCGACGGCAGGACCCCGCATGAGACTCCTCCCGGCCAGTCTGGAAGTAGCCCCCATCGTCGTCCTCGTGGTTGTCGAGGCGTCCTTGCTGCCTCCTCTGCGCCGTTCTCCTTCACGTCCTGGCGCAGGCTCGCCTGGCGTTGTCCCCTCCTCGCCCTCCTGCTTTTTTTTTCTGCTCGCGCCCCCCGGTCTGTGCTGCTGCTCCCTGCCGGCCTCTGCTGCTGAGGCGCCCCCGGGGCTCAGGAAGACGCCAAGCCCATCAGAAAAAACTCGACGCTCGAAGCTCGGAGAAGCCGCACCGCAAGACATCGGCAGATGCGTGAGGACATCGCTGCGGGAACCAGAACCCAGCCCAGAGTACCCTCTTCCGCGCGGAGGAGGACGCCCCGGGAACAAAAACACCCCCCAGGACCAAGAATCCCATCAAAAACACATCGCTCCGAAAAACATACATCAACGCGTTAGGAATTCGTGGACGCTCATGCCCGCGCACAGCTTCGATACGAATCTCAACACACTCCATTCACCGAACCGAGACTCATGGAAAAAAATGCGCGAGCGGCCCCTTTTTCGCAAAGAAGAAAGGACCCGCTTTGAAGCGCAACCGAGATACATTTTGTAAACTTGTGAAAGAGTTCTGCGGAGGATGGGTTACCACCTCCGGCCTGGACGCATGGGCCTCCCCCCGCGCCCGATTCCACCGTCGATGGGTTCCCACAAGCGGCCCAGGGACACGGGTTTCCCCCTGCCCCCACTTCGGCCGAGGATGGGTTACCGCCACCTGGCCCGGACGCAAGGGCCTCCCCCTACGCCCGATTCCACCGTCGATGGGTTACGACAAGCGGCCCAGGGACAAGGGTGTTCACCTGCCCCCGATTCGGCCGAGGATGGGTCACCACCCCCTGGCCCGGACGCCAGGGTCTCCCCCTTCGCCCGATTCCACCGTCGATGGGTTACCACAAGCGGCCCAGGGACAAGGGTGTTCACCTGCCCCCGATTCGGCCGAGGATGGGTTTCCACCCGCGGCCCAGACGCAAGGGGCTACCCCTGCGCCCGATTCGGCCGCCGACGGGTCACCACCGGCGGCCCGGAGACAAGGGGCTTCCCCTGCCCCCGACTCGGCCGAGGATGCGTTACCACCCCCGGACCGGACCAAAGAAGCTACCCCTGCTCCAGGCCGCCATCTCGTCGTCACCGTCGTCAGCTCCGCCATCGCCCCTGTGTCCTGCCCTACTGCGGAACCGCGGGAATCCCCCATGTCGGGCACGCGGGCCCATGACACTGACAAGGTGGCCGACGACCAGCTCGGCATACAACGCTCGGATTGCCAACGCTCGCCTGAGACTCCCGCCATACTCAGACCTCAGGAGCGCAAAGGTGACAACAGTCACAGGTTTCCAATGACCCACTCGGATTAATAACATGAGGCGTGGGCTCCATAGGGAGGGGGCTCCCGCTTGAGACTTCCTCGCAATTCACTCACAGACGAGGTTCCCGCCATGTCCAAGCCTCAGGAGCCCAAAAATGACAACAGTTACAAGTTCCCAATGACCCACTCGGATAATAACATGAGGCGTGGGCTCCATAGGGAGGGGGCTCCCGCTTGAGACTTCCTCGCAATTCACTCACAGACGAGGCTCCCGCCATGTTCAAGCCTCAGGAGCCCAAAAATGACGACAGTTACAAGTTTCCAATGACACACTCGGATTAATAACATGAGGCGCGGGCTCCGTAGGCAGGGGGCTCCCGCTTGAGGCTTCCTCGCAACTCACTCATAAACGACGCTCCCGCCTGAGACTTCCCCATTTTCAGACCTCAGACGCCCAAAAGTGATAACAGCTACAAGTTTCCAATGGCCCGCTCGGAATACAGACGGGGCTCCCGCCTAAGACTTCCTCGCAATTCACTCACAGACGAGGCTCCCACCTTCGACTTCCTCAAGATCAATGTATGAGTGAGTGAGTGTGTGAATGTGTGAGTGCGTATGCGTGTGAGAGTGAATGTGGGAGTGATGTCTATGATGATGATAATGATAATGATGATGCTGCTGATGATGACGAGTGGGTGAGTGAGTGACTGAATGATGATGAATATGTTGCTGATGATGGTGATGAGTGAGTGTGTGAGTGTGTGACCGTGTGAGTTGAGAAGAGAGGGGGTGATGATAATGATGACAATACGAGTAACAAAAAACAACAATGATGATAAATATAAGAAAGAAAGTAACGAATACGAATAATAATACTGATAACATCATAACTGATAACACGAGTATCAAGAGTAATGATCATGATATTGACAATAATCATAAAAATAACGGTAATAGTAATACTAAGTATGGCCAGAATGCGAATAGTACCAACAGCTACAATAACAATAGCAATAACAATAATAGTGATGATGATGACGATGAAAATGACGATGATGCTGATGGTAATGATGATGATACTGTTGATGATGATGATGATGATGATGATGATGATGATGATGATGAAGATGATGATGATGATGATGATGATGATGATGATGATGTGGGTTGTTACCCTCTGACGGGTTAGGGTAGGAATGTCACACCACAAGACAACGCTTGTTGGCCACCACCTAGGCCAAGACGCAGGCCCTAAAACACCCATACCTCGCGAACAGCGAGCCAACCACACCACCTTCCAGAGAGCCAGCATGCCACAAAAACTAACATATCCAGAACCACCCACCACCGGAACAACCCCGTCAAACCCAAAACAACGCCCCACCCAAAAACCCAGGAACAGTACCTGGGGCCCCACAGGAAGCCAAAAAAACCAGAAAATTCGACCCCTCTCACACACGTTTGTTTTTTTTTTGCTGGTCTGAGGGTCCCCCATTCTAACCCAGCCACAACCACAGGCGGCCTACACCCACGGCCCCAGTGAACCGGTTCCTGAGTTTTCCCGCGGGGTATCCAAAGAAAACAAGATCCCCACTTAGGATGTAGGAAAAAATGCGAGAGCCTCACGGTTTGAGAGCGGGTTGGTTTCAAATTGTGGCTCTCGCAAGAGCGCCGCGCATATTCGTTTCAAAAGATTGCAAGAGTTTCACGGGTTCAAATGGTTGACGTACCAGAAATTGCGTTTCGGAGCGATTCAGGTTTGTCGGGTTCGCAATGCTGAAGTCCCAGGAACGGCGTTCTGGCCCGATTCAAGATCGTCAAGACGCATCAGTCAGGTTGACTCGTGGCGTTGAATTCCTGAGATTGGTACGTTGGCACGCCTCAGGATTCTTACACCGCTGTCTGCCAACGGAACACTTCCCTCAGTGGAAATGAACCCGTGCCAGGGCCCACAAAGACGGAGCTTGGAGGGAGGGTGTAGTCCAACGTCGCTGATGGGTCGAGTCTTGGGTTTGCAGTGGTCCTCCTCCTCCTCCCTCCTCCTCCTCCCTCCCTCCTCCTTCCCCTCCTCCCCCTCCTCCTCCTCCTCCCTCCCTCCCTGCCTCCCTCCCTCCCTCCTACCTACTCCCTCCCTGCCCCCCTCCTCCTCCCCCTCGTCGCCGCCGCCGCCGCCGCCGTCAATGGAGAGGCGAGGAGCGAAGGGCGAAAGGCGCGGCTCGCCGGCGACTTGCAGCGCCAGTCCACGGCGGGGCTTCGGGAGCGCATGGTCATCACGGCGACCCCGCCCGCGGGGGACATCCTGCGCGCTGGGCGGAGGAGGACCCTCAGATCCAGGTGTTGCACTTGCTTCATATCGGGAGCGGCCAAGAGGGGGGTGTCCAAGAGGGGGGGTGCAAATCATGACCGGCGGCATGTGCGCGGCCCAGCGGGGGGGCCAGGGACGTAATGAAATAAGAAGACGCGCCATGAAATCTGGGGAAAAATCATGGCCCCCGCCACGATATCCACCCCCCCCTAGTCATCACCCCCCCTCTTTTCCGCCCCCGATGGGCGGAGGAGGACCCTCAGACCCAGGTGTTGCACTTGCTTCAGACACGGCGACTTCGCCAGGCTTCGGGCCCCGGGACCCTCACGGATCGCTGCGGCTCGCAGAAGGACACAGGCAGAGGGGGGCAGGGGCCCCAAGATGGTCTTTGCGATGTTGGCTTTACTGGGAGCGTCGGATCACGGGGCCGGAGATCCCCGAAGTGCGCTGGCCAGTCAGGGCGACGCGACTCCACAGGCTGCCGGCTGTCGCGGACGAGACTGGGGCCTCCCAAGTGGGGTCCGAGCAGATGGGGTCCGAGGATCGCGCCGCATCGCCAATGCATCGCCGATGCATCGGCAGCGCACTGGCGACGTCGGCGACGCCTCGCGCCGTCGGCGTAGAGAACATCGGGCTCCACGCCGAGCCCCATCGCCGATGCATCGGCTGTGCGGCGCAATCCTCTGACCCCATCTACTCCAGCTACATGTGGGAGGCATGGAGGGGCACACGACGCCGCACAACGCTGGCGCCGCAGAGGATGAAGCGGAGGGCCGGCCCGAGGAGGGGGAGAGACGGGGGCAGAGAGGCCTGGCGGCGGGCGTCGGGCCGTGCAGGGCGAGGGAAAGCAGCCAGGCTCAGAAGGCAGGGGGGGCCTGCAAAGAAGCCCCTCCCCCCCGCCCTCCTCTCGGGGTGCGCCGAGGAGAGAGGGGCGGGGTCGGTACGAGGGGAGTGGTAGCGCACCGTGGCCCGAGGGACGTGCGCGGACGGGGGGGGGGACGCGGAGAGGCGGGCGCCTGCAGAGAAGACGGGGGGGGACGCGCAGTCTGGGAGATCTCACGGCGCCGGCTTTGATACCCACCCACCCGTCGCTTGGGGGGGAACGACAAGGGAGGGCTGCCTCAGGGGGGGAGGAGCATGGACTGAGGGAGTGAGCTGGGCTTGAAGTGGACCGGATGGAGAAAGGGGCCTTCTTCCTCCTCCTCCTCCTCTCCTCCTCCTCCTCCTCCTCCTCCTCCTCCACCTCCTCCCCTCTCCTCCTCCTCCTCCTCTCTCCTCTCCTCCTCCCCCCCTCCTCTTCCTCCCCCTCCTCCCCCCCCCTCCCCCTCCTCCTCCCCCTCCTCAACAGCCCAACCGCGCGCTCCTGGGCGGGGTGGGCTGCCAGGCCCCGATCGGCGAGGAGTGGACGAGCGGCATCGATGCATTCACCCCTGAGCCCACAGTCGGGGCCTTGACCTAAGGAACTCTAAATAAGGAACGAGGCCCTTTTTTCCATAAGCTAAACTTCGATGTCCTATCGAGAACATAGGGAAAACCTGAGGCGAGCTGTGAAACACTTAAGGAACGCGGAGCCCCTCCCCAACGAAAAGGGTTCCTCCTTCAGGGCCCCGACTGTACATCCCTCTGACGTGGCCTCGCGCCCCTCTCCAACGCCCCCGACGAAAGGTTGTTCGCAGGACTCACCCTCTGGACAGTCAGTCAGTCAGTAAGCCAGGCGCCAGGCAACGGAGCATCGGCAGGGAATCGACAGGAGCACGATTGGCTCACAGATTCCATAAACCAAATTAGCAGGAAATGCAACAGCGCTGCAGACCTACACTCTATTGAGGCCAGCCCGGCGCAGGACTCACCCTCTGGACGTCCGTCCAAAAATCGAGTCGGGATGGACCGGCGCGGGCGGGACCGCGGCCAGGAGGAGCGAGGTTCGGCGAGGAGGAGGGAGGCACAGCGCTCCGAAGGTGTCGATCCTGAGGGAAGCACGCGGGCCCTGGAGAGCCTCGATCGGCGAGGAGAAAGGAGAGGAGGGGGGCCCAGACATGCGGTGTCCTGCCCTTTCCTGTACGCGGCCCCCAGAAGTCCCGACCCCGTGCCTGGGACTAGCTCTTCATCCTGAGCCCGGCAGGGGCCCCCAGAGACCGAAACCGACGAACATGTCTGGGGGGGGGGGGAAGCTTGGCTTGGCGGCGCGCCGAGGGGGTGTGGGGGAGGGGGAAAGGCTTCCTAGAAGGAGGCTGCTTCTAAGAAGGTGCCGGCCATACATCTATAGATAGGGCCCGCGCCTTCTAACAAGCAGGGTGCTTCCGAAAAGCCGTCCCCCCTCCCCCTACCCCCTTGTGCGCTCCACCATCTCTTGCGAATCGACGCTAACCGACGCGAAACGACGCCAAATGATGCTAACCGACGCTAGATCGACGCTGATCGGCACTGGAGCGACGCTGATCGACGCTGAAGCGGCGCTTGCCCATCGACCACCAGACGCCAGCCCACCCGAGTGCACGCTGGAGACGGAATCTCGAAGACACACCAAGGCTCCCATGACTTGCGACCGAACAGGAGCGGCATGGGCGCGCAGACTCTTTGGCCACCAGCGAGGGCGCGCGCCAGGCCGACGCCTTCGGGTAGCCGGCGGGCCGCGCCGGACCTAGGTGCACGCGCGTGCAGACCAGGGAAAGAGGGGGGGGGGAACGAGCAGGGCTCCTCCTCCTCCTCCTCCTCCTGCTCCTCCTCCTCCTCCTGCTCCTCCTCCTCCTCCTCCTCCTTCTCCTCCTCCTCCTCCTCCTCCTCTCCTCCGCTCATCCTCCTCCTCCTCCTCCTCCTCCTCCTCCTCCTCCTCCTCCTCCTCCTCCTCCTCCTCCTCCTGCTCCTGCTCCTGCTCCTGCTCCTCCTCGCCCCTTCTCCCCCTCGGAGCGGCCGCGGAGCAGGAACGCGCAGGCGTAGAGAGTCGACGCCACGAGGAGTGCGCGGACGGTTTCAGGCACCGAAGAACGAGGTCCCGAAGGGTGTACGGCCAGTTCCAGCTGCCGAAGGCGGGGACAGCGCGATCCCAATGGAGAGGCATGCCGTCATCCACTCGGTGGGAGGCAGAATGCCTGCAACGTCCAGGCATGCCACGTCTTGCAAAAGACAAGAGGAACACATTTCATCGTCTTCGGCCTCTGATGGCCCTTGCCAGACACGGGGGCCGTCCAAAAACAACTCAGCATTAAAAGCCAGTCTATAGAGGTCTCCTAGATGGTGTCCGAGCAGATGGGGTCGGAGGATCGCACCACATCGCCATTGCATCGCCGATGTATCGGCGATGCATCGTCGATGCACCCGAGATGCGTCGTCGACGTCGGCGATGCATCGGCGACATCGACGTTGAGAAATCGGGCTGCACATCGAGCCGCATCGACGATGCATCGGCGATACGGCGCGATCCTTCGACCCCACCTGTTCGGACCACAGCTAGGAAGTCCAGAGCCTCGGGGAACGGGTCGAAACTGCCGGGCACTGCGTACTGAAAGAATCGAGACATCGCATGTCCGGGCGTACACGTCGTTTATTTCCAATCGTGCTCGTTTCTAGTTGTGCTCGTTTCTCATTGTTCCTGGCCCCCTAGTGGCCAGGAAGAGGCCCCGGATAGAACAATCAGAAGTGAAAGGATCTTGGTCCAAAAAAATCAGAAAGAACTTTCGAAGAATCTGAAAAAAACAATGAAAGGATCTTGGCCAAAAAAACTAACTTTCGAAGAAAATCGAAGAAATCAATGAAAGGATCTTGGCCCCCAAAAAAAAATCAAAGAACTGTCGAAGAAGTATAAAGGAACAGTGTGTAGGCCTCTGGCGGTCCGCGCAGCGGCCCCCGACGCACGGGGAGGGGGGAGCGCAGGGGCAACGGAGGGAGGAGGATGGACGGGGCACGACGCAGGCTCGAAGGACGGGGGTCACGAGCAGAAACCAGGGAGGGGCAACGGAGGGGCAACGGAGGAGGATGGATGGGGCACGACGCAGACTCGCAGAAGGGGCAACGGAGGGAGGAGGATGGATAGGGCACGACGCAGGCTCGCAGGACGGGGGTCACGAGCAGAAAAACGAGCGGCAGAACCAGACGGGCGGCTCGGGCGGGCGGGCCCAACCGGCGGGTCGAGCGGGCGGGTCGCTGAACCATCAGTCCCGTATGGATCGCGAAGAAGGCCCTAGCGATAGCGCAGTTCCCAAGTAGATCACGATGCAGGAGCGTGATTCCTGAGTGTCGGGGGCGCGGCGCCTCAATCAATTTTGAGAAGTACCCCGCGTGAGCGCGACTTCCTGCATACATTGTGAAGAAGTCCTGCGCCGAAGCGCAATTTGGGAATATATGGTGGGGAAGTATCAGGCGGGAGCCGCTGTTGTTGTAAATGGAGGTCCATCAACACAGTCTGAGCCTCGAGACTTACCCTTGTAAAAACAGGCTGCGAGCCCCTGGAGGGAAACTGCACTTGAAACAACACATGGGCACGGCGGAGGGGGGATCAACAGTAATTCGTTGCTAGACATGCAGCAACAGCAGCAGCAGCAACAACAACAGCTTTGTAGAAACACTTACACTATGAAGGCAACACCTGGTTCACCTTCTCGAGATTGCACAAGAACGAAACTGAACAATACATGCCATGACTGCCGAGCCGCACCTGCCTGTGCCCCAAAAGGTGCCTGCTGGAACCGCCCATCCTGGTGTTTCGGCTTCGCGGAACGCCCCCCCGCCCCGTCCCCCAAAGGGTGCCTTTAAATCCCTGCCCCTGGGCCGATGAATACAGGATACGGAGTAGGGCTCTACAAATTCAGGTGTTCGCACAGAGAGTTCCATATAATAGTGTTCCACACAGGAGGAACCGCATGAGGTTCCACACACGTAGCATCCCACGGACAATGCCTTCCACACAGTGCTACACGAAATTACTGTTTGGAGGTCATCGCGCTGGCATCACCTAGTGGCGTTTCGTGTGTCTTCGAAGGGTACCAGACGGTACGAGAACTCCCCATGGATGTTCGGACGCTTTCATCGGAGAAGAGGAGGATAGGGAAAAAGGAGGAGGAGGAGGAGAAGGAGGAGGAACGGGGGAGGCGAGGGGAGGAGGAAGGGGGGGGCTTCTGCCTGTTGCCTGCTCCGTCCATCCTCCGCTCTCCTCCGAGCCCTCCTCCTGGTCCAAGTCTTCACCCCCCCCTCCCTTCTGCACCCACCCCTCCTCTCTCCCTTCCTCCCTCCCTCCTTCCTTTCGTCTCCCTCTCCTCCCTAAAAAAAGGGGCCGTCCCAATGCTGGTGTGGCCGCTGACCTCGCCGCTGGCCAAGACTGACTCTCCTGGTGGCTCCCCCCCCTGCGTCGCGCACCGCCTCTGCCGGCTAATGCTCCTCCTCGCTCCTCGTCGCCTCATTATCCTCATCCGTCTCCTCCTCCTCCTCCTCCTCCTCCTCCTCCTCCTCCTCCTCCCTGCTCATCTCCTCCTCTCCTCCTCCTCCTCCCTCCTCCTCCTCCTCCTCCTCCTCCTCCTCCAGCTCCACGAAATTCGTAGCAGGAACGGGACGCGGCGCACATCGCGCGCGGACATTTGGGGCAACCCCAAGCGGGAGGGGCCATCCGACCCCTCAAAAACCAATACAAAGTCGTCACGTTTCTTTTCAGCGAAAACTGTCTTGCCGTCGGCAATGCGAAACTCGTGGCAGGAACCGGGCGCGGTACACATCGCGCGCGACAGGGCGAAGCTTCGCCTCCTGTTCCTCCTCCTCCTCCTCATCATCCTCCTCCTCATCCTCCTCCTCCGCGTCCGCCTCCTCCTCCTCCTTCTCATCCTCCTCCTCCTCCTCCTCCTCCTCCTCCTCCTACTCCTCCTCCTCCTCCTCCTCCTTCTCCTCCTCCTACTCCCCCTCCTCCTCCTCCCACGCACCCGTTCCCCTATACCTCTTTGTCAAGCGGGTACGTCCAGCTGACGGTCATCTTCCCCCAAGGGCGCAGAGAGACAGGGCTAAGGAGGTCCGTTCCGTACACACTGTGGAGCAAGCCACAAACATCGGCCGCCTCCTGATGTTACAGCTGCTAGCGGAGCGGTGCGATGCTGCGGTCACGGGTGCCAGAACCGCGCGCTGTCAAGAGGCCCAGCGGAAGCGCTCAAGGATTGCATGGCAGGCGCCGCCTCTAGGCTGTGCTGCATTGCGTGGGATCCTCGGCAGGGCGCCTGAAGCCGAGAAAAAACTACTAGATCAATAAGAAAAAAACATAAGCTGTCGGAGGTCCGCGCGGATATCGTGGACCAGCGCTGGCCCCCCCTCCCTGGCGCGCGAACGCGCCCGAGGCAGCGCTGGAGGCGCCGCCAGGAGGGCGACCTAAGAAATCTGCGCTGACCTCCGAAAAATAATTTTACGCTACTCTTCTGTCGAGTCTCAAGGCTGCACTGCCTGGCGTGGGATCCTCGGCAGGGTGTCCGACGGCGATGCGGCGCTGGATCAGAAGGACGCGCCCGCGGTGCTGCAGCCAGCTGCGCAAGTCAGGAGCTGTTGCTTGGCGTGCCGCGGCGGTGGGCTCTACGACGCGCCATGCCTTGCAGCACGGTGGCGTGTCGCTCTGCCTCGTGGGACGGGAGGCTGGAAAAAGCTCGGACCGTGGACGCTTGAGGACTGGGACGTGGTCAGCGCGTCGCGCCGAAACCAGGCGGGCCAGAACCAGGGGCGCGACACGCTGAGCAAACGCTCCTGGCCGCGAGCACCCCTACAAGCCAAGCCCTGCAGCAACCGCACCCGAGGAAAGACTCCAACAGGGCAGGACTGCTTGGGCAGACGCACTCGTAGACGCCAGCAGCGGGGGCCGGCGTGCTGCCTCCTCCCTCGCACTTCCGAAGCCAGCGGGCGCAAGCGAGCCGGAGCAGGTGCAGGCGCCAGTCGGGCAACGTGCGGGGCTCGCCGGGAGCACCCCTCCCTCGGGCAGGAGAGGCGCGGGCGGCTGGACAGGCGGCGCCGCAGCAGGCGGTGTCGGCACAGGCGGGGGAGGAGCGAGCGACGCCTGGCGCCGCACTCGCGAGCAGTGGGGGCCGTCGGCCCCGCCACCGACTCGGCAGGCACCAGTCCAGGCATCCGGCGGAGCGCCGCGAGGAAGAGGGCGGCGCCCAGTGGGACCCGCGGGGACAACCTCTCGTCCGTCACGGAAGCCGGGCGGGGCGGTGGCGGTGCCGGCGGCAGGCAGCGCGTGGTGGTGGGGCTCGGCGGCCTGTCCGGAGCGCAGCATCCTGGAGTCGGCAGCCCGCTCAGCAGACCGGCTGGCGGCAGC